CGGATCCTTAGTCCGGGATCCTGATCCTCTTCTGGACTCGGACCTTCTACATTCTGGATGATTGTAGAATACAGGTTCTACTTCACATTCAAGTCTTCATATTTATTATTCAATGGGGATTGGGATAATCAAATTGGAGTAGTATGTCGTGTCACCGGATCCTCGATCTCGTTTTTTTCGACTAGGTAAACTCGTCATAGTTCAAGTATATCAAAATGACGTGTTTACGTGCATGCGTAACAGTAATAATAGTGTTTGAGCCCATTTGCATCAAGCTCGACTGAATTTCTTACTATCCTATGCCACACGATGTATATACCATAAACTGTTTTTTTATTATACAGAGCTGAAGGTTTTCAATTATACCAGAGGTTCGCGGTAAACATTTTGGATGGTTTGGCATTGCATTGACAAGTTTTTTCTAATAGTCCTTATAATAAATTGATTAGCAGGGTGACCGATTTCATTGATACTGCTAGTAGTTTTTTTGCAACATTCCTCGAGGATAATTTGTGTTAGGATATTCATCAAATATTCTGAAGAAATTATTTTGTAAGTCTAATTCTATTGGTCAATATTTACAGTCGTCCTAAACTATCAAGTTCACATACTTTTAAATATCCTTTCCTATTGGTTAGTATTCAAGGTCGACCTAATCGCATATATATGAACTGTCTGTACGGTTTGATGCTCCTCTAATTCTTCTTCTGTACACAACCTCATATTTTCTGGGTGCTTGTAGAATACAATTTCAAGACTTCTTCGTCTACTTAATCGTGGCCCAACCTACACCTACACTGCTAAACATAGCTCGACGAGGCAGTCGGTGGTTAGGCAATCGTAACACATGTCCCAGCCACCTCAACTGATGAAGTATAAATACTTCGTCTATTGATCTAACATTTTTACCTAGAATCCATTTCCTAACAACAACATTGCTTACTCAATAGCACAGCTTCGAAGACACTTATGATCGAAAACCACTAACCTACAGTCAGTCAGTATTATGATATTCATCATCATATTTTCCGGATGCTTGTAGAATACACTTTCTACGCCATATCGACTTTTTGATACCGTTAGTGTGGAGGCTTGGGACGCTCGGATTAGAGTAACCTATTGTGTCACTGGATCTTGAACTATTACGAGTTTACCTTAGTCGGAAAACGAGAGCGAGGATCGAGGATCCGGTGACACGACATACTACTCAAATCCAATTATCCCAGCTGCCCCCCCCATAATAAGTAAAAATAAGAAGACTTGATATGAAGTAGAACTTGTATTCTACAAGCATCCAGAAAGTACGAGGTCCGAATCCAGAAGAGAATCAGGATCCCGGACTAGGGATCCGGGACCGAGCCCTGGTCCTGGTCGTAGTCATAAAACGTTACACATAATGCGTATTTATACTTTTTGGTCGAATAGGAAACAGCATCGAAGTCTGTGACATTGACAGTTAAGACGACCAATAAGGAAGCAACATTTGAAGTGACATTGATAGTCAGGAGAAACCAGTAAGAAACAACATTGGAGCACGGGACATTGATATCTACTAGGACGACCATAAAAATGACTAGTAGGCATTAACCAGTGTGAATTGACCAATAATTCTCTTTTGGGATATTGGATAAATACCCTAACACAGTTGTCTTAGCTCTCGTTTACCGACTAAGCTGAACACACTCATAATAGCATTCAAGTATATCAATTGACAAGTATAACAAACTATCACCGGGATGCTGTACGCTTATCACTATTGCTAATAATCATGAGTTTGCCCAATGAGATTCAAACAATCTACACAATATTACAACAGCTAATAGTCAGTCAGTTGCAACGTAGAACTTCGTACGTATGTACATAAGTTCATGTTGCCATACCACATTAGCACAGAGACACAAATGTCAAATCAAATCCCATAGTGATAAAGATAGAAGAGATATTAATGGTAATGAAAAAGACTAGGGTTCGAAGATATATTATTCAAGATGTATAATTCAGTGAAATAAGATTAGAAGACAAAGGTAGAGGTGCTAACGAATCCAGAAGATTAGGATTTGAGACAGCTCAAAGAATGGATACACTCACGCCATTGCAAACTGTTAAAACTGGACCACCATCCTTAAATATTTCAGGGATCAGTCTATCAGGACCTGCTGCTCTACCTCCCTTTAGATTTCCTATAGCTTTCTCAACTTCATGTAGACTGGGAGGACTTAAATCGATTGGCCATTCAGGATGATTGGGGATCGTGGGCAACAGAAGTGTGGCTGAAGACCGGTTGAACTGGTCCCTAAATAGTAATACTCATAATCATTCTCCACAAACATGTAAAAATTATACCAGTATAATTATTATTAACTCACCTCTAACACGTATGGTGTATTTAATTCGTAATGACCGACCTAAATGTACCGATTCAGCAATATAATGTCCAGAATCACTGACTGATAAATTAATTAATCGTAAATTTCCATAGGCCCCGTCAACTAATTCATATTTGGTACCCCATGGCAATTCATTGATTTGTCGACGACCAACGGTACCGCTGCTACTAATACTACCACTACTACCAGATGAAGAATTTGATATGGCTGACACTGATGACGCCGACGCTGATGTTGAACCGGAATTACCAGTACTACTGCTACCACTGTTGCTGCTGCTGCCGCTAGAGCTAGCACTACTGATGGATGAATCCAATGCTATAGCTTGTCTTACACGACTTGCTTCATTTAAATAATACCAATCCACTTGTGTACGACCTTCACCTTCTACAGCCCAAGGTAATTCAATTGTAGAACCCTGGATAACAAAAAAATTAAACAGTTAATCAAGAAGCTATTTAAAAAAATGAAAAGCAACAGTTTAGATTAAATAACACACACAGAGAATGTGTATCTTGTTTATTGTGATTTCTGTTAACTTTAATTCATCTTAATACTACATAGGTCAGGATAACAATGATTTTCTACCAGGAGGCTCGCTTATTGACTTAGAATATACCGATGACATAGATCTATTCCGTGAAGACGCTGACAAAATGCAGAGTCTTCTGACTACCCTGAGCAACAATGCAAGCGTGTTCAGGATGCCGTTTCCCCCACCCCCCAGAAATGCAAAATGTTGCTGCAGGATTGGATTGCGTCGGTACTTGAACTAGTGCTAGGGAGTGAAGTCGTTGAGCGTGTCGACCGCTTCCCTTATCTGGGGAGTCTCATCAGTGCCGAGGACCTGGTGACTGACTAAATCTGAGCACGGATACAGAAGGCTCGATTGGCTTTTGCCAATTTACGTCATTTATGGCGTAGGCGATATATCCGTCTGCTAACTAGAGGACAAGTTTATTGCGCAGTAGTTCGCTCCGTCTTACTTTATGGCTGTGAAACATGGCCAGTGAGAGTAGAAGATATTCGTAGGTTACTGGTTTTCGATCATAGGTGTCTTCGAAGCATTGCTCGTATATCGTGGGACACCCGAGTGAGCAACTCTGTTATTAGGAAACGGGTGCTAGGTAAGAATGGCAGATCAATAGACGAAGTGGTGAAACTTCATCAGTTGAGGTGGTTGGGACATGTGTTACGTATGCCTAACCACCGACTGCCTCGACGAGCTATGTTTTGTGGTGTAGGAGTAGGTTGGAAGAGAGCTAGGGCCGGCCAGACCAAAACATGGCAGAAATCCATGAAGTCACTGAAAAGTGGACTGAGTCATGTTGATACATGTAGACTACCTGGTTGGGGTCCGCCAGTCGAAAGTTATCGATGGTTAGAGACATTGAATGAAACGGATCAAAACTGTTTGCAGTGGCGCAGGTGCATCCACTTTATGTGTTTATGAAATTCTCATAATCTCTATCTTTCTAAATTTATTTCACTGGATTATAACTTCTTGAATAATATCTTCGAACCCTAATCTTCTCCATTAGCAGTAGTACTTCTGCTACGTCTACCACTATGAGATTCGAAGTGACCATTGTGTGTCTGTGCTAATGTGGTGTGGCAACCTTAATTAATGTACTTACGTACGAAGTTCTACGTTGCAACTGACTTACTGACTGATAATATCGATTGAGACTAATTTGGTTTCTTATGCTGTTTTGAGTATGAAGGTGGATATCACTTCCCGGCTGCCCACACCGTGGAAGGGTATTTCTTGAGGTACCTGAAAAGGAAGTTAGATTAGTGTTGATCCTAGCCACCTGGGAGCGTGACCCCAGAGCGCAACGGACAACCGCTTGAGGCCAATCACACACAGCTTTTTTATGAGAAGTCTTTAAAATGTTAGCTCCGCTTTTCAAGTAAATTTACCGTTGGAGACAGAAATCCGTGAGGTAATGTGAAATGTGACATTTTTACAGTCGACCTTTTCTAACCCGTTTCTTCCGTCTTGGGAAGGAAGCATCGCTACAGATCCTGGTTGTCCGGAGAAAACACCTTACTGCCATCACATCAATCTACAGTTAAAATTACAACTTCACTCTTAGACCTTGAGCTGCTGCTTTTAGCCTTACCTTTCTCCAATCGACCTGCCTGACATGGTATAACCTACAAGAATATATGTTCTAGTCAATATAGCTCACGGTTGTTTCATCACATAAACCTTAACCACCAAGGGTGTATAAGCTTGGAAAACTCAAACTTTCTGAGTGCATGTGAATACATTCTCTCTACGTCTTATGAAGACTTCTTCCTTGAGTTGAAATTATGAATCGATCATGGCTAGACCACCATTAGAAAGAAACTAGGAAGCAGTGAAAGACGGACCGTTTTGTCCTAGTAGAGGACTCATCAGTAGCAATAGGCCTCCACAACTCCCGCTCGTTAGAATCGAACCACAGAACCTTCGGTCTTATTTGCGAGGACTTAATCCCAAGAGGCCAGTGATCCGGTATCCAACAATCTTAATATCTAGTTACAATCAATTCACATGCATGCTCAATATTCAAGCATTTGCACTGCCACTGATGAAGTCACATGCTAGGACGAAACGGCCGTCCAGTGCTCTCAAGTTTCTTTCTAATGGTGGTCTACGACAAACACTTAACCTTTAGGTCACTAAGCCGGTGGCATCCAACGGTGTTAATGTGTAACTTTAATCTCAATCCACCGATATTGCACATCCTCACCGATTGTCTTCATTAGGAAAACTGTATACGCCTGCCTAAACAGACTTGAAAATCATTGTCATCATCAAAATGTCTTCAACTAAACTACATCAATACAATTGAAATCAATGCTAACTTACACGTAGAATATTGATCTCATTACCGACACTACGTAGTTCAGCATAGGAAAAACGAAATTGCAAACGTTGTAGTCGACCACGTTCTGGACGTTCCACAGTGACTGATTCATCTACAATTGATTGAAGAACACAACGAACTTCCATAGATGTGAGTTCAGCTTCAGTAATTGATCGAATATGTAATTCTGGATGTTTAGTTACATTGATCATACTGAAACGACCATCTGAAAGAGAAAATAATTACAACAATGATGATGATCGTGAAAAATTGAAGATGAGCAGTGAGCGACAATCTACCAGTGGAACTTGTTAAAAACCAAAACTCTCCATGAAATATAGTTATCAGATAATGATTGTATTAGTGAAATCATTATTCAGTCATTGTTAAACTACCATTTACAAAGAAGTCTGGAAGCGCTGAAAGACGGCTGTTTTGTCCAGGTATGGGATTCATTAGAGGCTGTGCGCATCCATGATTCCTGCAACTTGTAGGATTCTGACTCAGGACCTTCGGTATTGAGCGCGAACGCCTAACCTTTGGATCAATGTGCTCATTAGCGCCGGCTTGGTGAAGAAATTCTCGGAGTTCTAGCGAGAAGATGTAACTTGCGACAGTTCAATCCTATCGAGTGTAGGCAGTAACTAGCGAAGACAATGTGTGAGGTTGCGCGAAATTCCTAGACTAATCAGAGTTACACATTAATACCAGCCCAGTGGGTCAGAGGTTAGGTGTTCGTGCACAAAACCGAAGGTTTTTGGTTTTGAATCCGGCGAGTAGCAGGAGTTTTGGATACGCACTAATGACGAGTCCCAAATCAGGACAAAACGGCCATCCAGTACTCACAGGTTTCCTTCTAATAGTGGTCTAACAATGCTTGATTCATGATTTCGTTCATAAACAACAATCTCTGCAAATCTATGAAAGAAAAAGTGATTGTATTCTCATTTGAATCAGACAGACAGATACAACGCCAGAACTTCGTACATCAGTTCAGGTTGACATACTACTTTAGCACACAGAGACGCAATTGTCAGTTCAAATCCAACAGTGATAGCGATAATAGAAGTATTAGCAGTAATGGAGAAGATTAAGGAGCGAAGATATGATTCGAGAAGTATAATTCAGTGAGATAAATTTAGAAAGAGAAAGGTAGAGATTATGAGGAATTAAGATGGTTAGAATTTCATAGAACACAAGGAGTGGATACACGTGCGCCATCGCAAACGATTTTGAGCCATGTCGTTCAAGGTCTCTAACCATTGGTGACTTTCGTCTCGCGGACCCAAACCAGGTAGCCTACATCTACCAACATCACTGAGTCCACTTGTCTGTGACTTCATGGATTTGTGCCATGTTTTGGTTTGGCCGCCCCTATCTTTCTTCTAACATATTCCTACACCACAAAACATCACTCGTTGAGGCATCCAGTAGTTAGGCATAAGCAACACATGTCCCAACCACCTCAACTGATGAAGTTTCAATACTTCATCTATTGATTTTCTATCCCTACTTAGAACTCGTTTCCCAACGACAGCATTGCTTACTCGGTTGTCCCAGGATATACGAACAATGCTTCGGAGACATCTATGATCGAAAACCCGTAACCTACGAAAGTCCTCTACTCTTAACGGCCATGTTTCGCATCCGTATAGGACGGAGCAAACTACTGCACAGTACACTTCACACATTTCTCATTCACTGTAGTTTTAGGAAATTGGAAAATATCTCTAGTCTTTATCATCATATCAATATGGTGTAACAGAAAAGTCAAATAATGTTAATCTTGTAGTTTGTCTGTGTGTGTTGTGCCAATATGGACTGGTGCCTAACCTTTTCGGCCCCGAATTACTACTATTCACAACGCCAAATGAGCTTGTTAATGGAAGCGCTTATAACTTGGTTGTTGTTGTTGTTACTTGAGTGTGCGCAAGCGTACATTGCTTATACTTCGCTTTATCGCATGTCTGACTATAAATAACAACTAGTCATGCGTCACTGAATTGCAGATGGCAAACACTCGCCTTCTTCTCCACTTCACTATGCGTTGCCTCTATATCCTTATGTTTATCTACGTGACCGATGGCATGAAGATAAACTCATCCAACTGAGTCCATATTTCGTATCTTTTTACCATCGTCTTCGCATAAACGCGGTGTTCGCCGTTAAGTAAATGACAAGGGAAGATTTATTTCACAAAGCATATATTAAATGCCCAGTCTAAATTGAAGTCAGATCTAACAAGGTGTCAGTTTCATCACTAGGTATGCATGAAACTATTACGTGTTCACCTTAGTCCATAAACGCCAACGAGACAATGAACCAGCATCCAGGTAGGCTACCCTCATCCAATGACTGACAAAAAAGTCTTGATATGGCGTAGAAAGTGTATTTTACAAACACCCAGAAAGCACAATGCAATCAAGCACACAACTCTCGTTTATTTATACATCATAGAGACTAAAAGCAGCTACTCAAGGTCAGAGGGTGAAATCGTACTGCTGACTGTAGAGTGGTGTAACAGCAGTAAGGTGTTTCCCTTAGACAACCAGCATCTGTAGCTATACTGCCTTCTCACAAGGAAGGAAGGAGTTACAAAAGGTCGACCCTAAAAATGTCACACCTCACCTTACCTCACGGATTTCCGTCTCCGGCAGTAAGGGCTTATAAACAAGAACGTAGCTAATACTTTAAATACTACCCATAGAAACGCCCTGCGTGACCGGCCTCAAGTAGTTGTCCCTTGGGCTCTCCGGTCACGCTCCCAAGTCGTTAAGACTGAGTGACTGACTGACTGACTCAGTATGGGCAAGGGAAAATATAAATCTATACACAAAGAAGAAGGAATTCAAGATATGTATTCTCCAAACTATTATTATTCTAATGAACTTCAAAATAGTATGAGAGTAGTAACTTAATCAAACTATTCATGGTGAAGTTTCATTCTCTGAGGTGATGTTTTGGTTGTGGAGCTTTCATCATAGTTCTTCATCTGAAGAACAACAACATCAACAGCATAAACTTCAGCTGGAATTGTAGTATGTGGATACAATCAAAATACAACTGCAAACAATGGCAGATTGAAAGGTCACAAACAACCAATCAAGATTGAGCTTAACAGAACAAGCTACGGAGGGCGTCGAACGTGGAAGAATTTGAATACCTGAAGTTTGTATTGATGAGGTTGTTGTGTTCAGAAGCAGAACAGTAGCTCCACAACCTCACCAGCTCACAGAACGAAACTCCACCAGAATCATCCACATCTGAGATAAAAAAAATTTTCCATCATCTCAAAACAGTTATTAGATGATTCCTGTTTTTGAAATTCATTTGTCCAATAAAAATCAACGCTTAATTTTATTATTCATTCAAGAGTTTGTTGATTGGTTCAATAAACAATTGTTGATTTGAAAACCAAGAGAAAAAACAATCATGGCAAAATTTACAAATTATCCAATCAAATTCGATGCGTGGGCGTGACACACACTCTCTCTTTGTACATTATCGAATGTACATACCAATCATAGACACATACACACACACATATACAGACATACAGACATACAAAAACAAATAATTTCACGTGAAAAAAAGAATAAAAATAATAATAATAATAGCAATAGATAAAGGAGAGAAAAAAGCATCAACAACCAACCAGTTTATCGATCGATTGGACAAATGCCAAACGGGCAAATAGAGAGAGAGAGAGTTTATTTTTCCATAATTGTTAAAATAATCATTTTGTATAGATTTGTAGATTTGATTGATCATTCAAGGAAGTGTATAAAGTTTATGGTATGAAGAAAAAAAAGGATAAAATGAATAAAGAATACTTATTGTATGATCTAAGAGATCATTTGAATTGTGGAAATAATGGTAGTGTGTAAGTGTAGGATCCAAATTGAGGTTTGAAGTGAGGAATAAGACTGTCTAGGTAGTTTAGATACGCACTATTGCCCAGTTTAAAACCAAAACAAAGTGATTTGTCTAGATGACAGTGGTTCTAATATTCATCATAAATATAAATATACATTATTACCTAAACAAATATTACCACTCAGTTATTCCACCAACAATTGTTCAATTATTCAAATCCACAACAGCAACAAATAACTGACATTCTATCCCTCTTGAATAGATCAGATTCGTTCGACAGATAATATTTGGTTGCTTTATAACACAGAGTGTTTCCTATTCTGGAAGAGTGCTTCAATTCACAATCAAAATGCACAATTCCAGTCCATGCAAGCAATCCAATCAAAAGAGGAACAAATCAATATGGCTGTCGCCATGACTAAGTATCAGTTTAAACAACATAAATGCAGTTCAGAAAGAAACATAGACCCTCTAATACTTTTACTACCTCTACTACTATGGGATTTGAACTGACAATTGTATTTGTGTGCTAATGTGGTATGGCAGCTTGAACTGGTATACGTACGTACAATGTTCTGCATTGTAACTGACCTAGACACCTTCTAGGGTTATTGCCGATCCCAAGACACAAAAGGACACATTGCACCGAGAAATGGAGACAAACATGAAAATAATGGACAGCTGGAAAAGAAAGCTTAGGACAGAGAGTAAGTAGATTGGAGAATGCTGTTCAGTGATTGATGCTTCCTTAAGGGATACACATTGCAGAAAGCACTGAACTGCGGCGCATCACAAGACAGGCCACCCAATTGGAACCCTCATGGTCAAATGAAAAGAGAAATACCAAAAAAAAACACATTACACCGGAGACAGACATAAAAAACAGAATGGTGGAGAAGATTTGTAGCTCAGGTGGATGATTGTGGTGGTGGTGTTTGGTTCTCTGAGTAGTGGATGTTTTTTGGTTGTGGAGCTTCTTTCTATCTGATGTTCGTGTTGCTGCTGATGTTGTTGTTCAGCAGAAGAACAGCAATAAAAGCTCTACAACCAAAACAATATCCAGCTCAGAGAACTAAACACCACCAAAACAATAAAAAAGAATGAACAGCGATTGGTGTAGAACTGAAAAACAAAGCCCAACACAGAGAGTAAGGTTGGCGATTGCTGATCAGCGGACAGTCTCTGCTCAGCTCATAGTGTAGTGAACGAGAACACAGGTGGGGCAACCGGACTGTATTTAACGAAAATTACAGAGTTACTCAGTAAAATCGGAAAACCATATCGTAAATCGTTAATTTGCAAAATATCAGTTCATCATATCAAACTGGACTGTTCCTGTTGCAAACAACATCAATCCATTGTCACTATTCATGCGTTTCATACAAATTCCATTGTGTTCTAACTAACTCTTCCTTTCTTGACCTTCCTCCCACATCTACGGCTGCCAGACGTTACGTTGACGCTCACGTCATATACTACTTATAAGTAGCTCACACCACACTAGGAGTAATAGTCATAAATAAGATTCCAACATAAAACAGGACAAAACATCAATAAATTCACAATCTCACATAAAACTTACATGAATGATCAATGGTGGAAATTAATGTCTTATTCATATATACTTCCCAATATTTGACTTTTAAAAATCGATTAAATATACCCTGTTCCGGTTGACAACTGATAACAGCTTTTTGTCTTGGTTTAATTGGGAATGTATTATAGATAATTTTTAAATTTTCATCTGGCATTGGAACTGAAAAGTGAATAAAATAACAAACAAATAAAAAATACTCAATTATCAACCGATGACTATGATTTGATTTATTTTGAATAGAAAACTGTTACGGGGTTGTTAGATCCCCAACACAACTCGCTTGATAAATAAATGCCATAATTTTGGATTTCATGTTTTTGCTAGCTAGCATGGACTGATCAGTTAGTTGACTTTGAGATTTTTAGCTTCCACCAGGAAAATTCATGGCTGTGTGATTGACTGCTGTGTATTATTTTAGTGTGTTATTTTTGTAACTGTCTATGATGTATAAATAAATGAGAGTTGTATGCTTGATTGTATTGTGTTGTGATTGCTGGGTGTTTTGTAGAATATACTTCTTTCTACGCTTATCAAGACTTCCGTTTTACAGTTTGGGATTTAAGGTAGCCTACATGGACGCTGGTTCATTGTCTTGTTCGCGTTTATCGACCAAGGTGAACTTTTAATAGCTTTAAGCGTACCAAGTGACGAACATAACAAAAACAAAATTTTATTCAGTGATGACTGAGATCTTGTATACTTGGTTGCAGAGTATTTGAGTTAGTCAGTCAGTTACAATGTAGAACTTCGTACGTACGTACGTACGTACATCAGTTCAGGTTGCCATACCACATTAGCACAGAGACGCAACTGTCAGTTCAAATACAATAGTGATAGCGATAGTAGAAGTACTACTAACAATGGAGAAGATATTATTCGAGCTTTCGCTAAGCGCCGAAGTATTATTGAGGCCAATATTTTAGAAACTATATTAGTTAGACTTATTCCCCTGTGATTGTCACCAGAAGACTTTTCTCCTTTCTTATAAATTGGGACAATCAGTGATTGAGACCACTCGGATGGGATTACGTCCAGTTCCCAGATTCTACTTAAGATCTCAGTCAACCTAGCTGCTAAAACTGCACCACCATCCTTAAATATCTCAGGGGTCAGTCTGTCAGCACCTCCAGCTGGCCCTCGCTTCATATTTCCTAACGCTTTCTCAACTTCATTAAGACTAAGGCGACCTACGTCGATTTGCCATTCAGGATGAGTGGGGATTGTGGGTAAACGGAGAGTGGCTCGTGGCCAGTTGAACTGATCCCTAAAGTGTTCTGCCCATCGATCCAGTCTCCTGGATTGAGAATAAATAACAGTCCCGTCATTTTCTGAGATAGTCTCACAAAACTAAGATTCCTAATACCAGTTTCCTTGATAAGTCGGAAAAGTTGTCTGATGTTGCCGATCGCCGCTGCCTTTTCCATCGCTTTTGCTTTCGCCACCCACCACTGTTCACGGTCGTTGCGCAGGCTTTTTGTCAGCCTGTGCTTAAGCTGACTTCGTTCCTCATCAAGTTCAGAGCCAGGTGGGATGTGTTTTCGAGCATCCATCAGTTCGGTAGATGCTACTGGGATCCATAACCATTTATTCCCTAACCAACCTGCTTGTATTAATAAAAATCAGTGTTTCAGCCAGTTTAGTTCAACTGGATCATCGTAACAATGTATAGATGAATCACTATGACGAGATAACCAAAGGAGTACGTCTACAGTTTTACGTACATACATAATGGTGATGAAAGCTAGTTAGCACAAAATCAAAATCCGAAATTAACTTTCAACTACTTTCAATCACTTAACATCGTAATATGAAGTACACAACGTCGATTAAATCAATAAGACATTGGTTATTACACAGCCTCGACCTACTCACCCACACTACCCGAACATGGTAATAATCAGCGATACCGATTGTCAAAACCCAATCAACCTGACATACTTTTTTAATTAAAATAGACAACATCAGTGACAGAATTTTTATATCTAACTCCATCTAGTGGCCCCTCTGGGGCTACTGCCTGTCCCAAACCCAGAGATTAAGGAGCAGGGTTGGGCATGTTAAGGTGAGCCATTCCATCCCGTTCCCATTCCATCCACCAAATAAAAAAAACACATTAAAACCTACAATGATTTCGTAAAAAAACATCCGACAGATAACAAGGCACCACTTGGATGTATTATTGACAAGTCTGCAGTGAAACTTATCATCAATTACAATGCCCCTCCTCTATGAACTGATGACTGTTGACAATATCTCTTTAAAAGGCTCACCTCTTTTAGAACAAACACTAATCTAGTCGATAATCAAAATATTATTATTACTATTATTAATGAATTCGGTATTCACCTTGATGTATCACCATTTTCCGTGATCGAGCTTGTCCGAGATAATTTTCAGCTTGACAAAAAAATACCATACGCATTGTGGATGAACGTGTCGCTGTGAAATTAAGCCAACCATTGCCAACAAGAATTTGATTATTATGATTATGATGATTATTATTTGCATTGTGTTTAATAATATTATCATGATTATACTGATTATTTGTATTCATATTCGACGTAACAGTACTGGATGTAGAAGACGAAGTGCCAGTCCCAGTCCCAGTAGTACCATTCATTGCAGTTTGTTGTTGACTAGTTGATGATGATGATGATGATGATCCAAGATTTTCCATTGATGAAGATGACATTTCTTGATGATAATCTGCTTGAGGTGTTTCTCTAGAAAACAAAAAAAATACATACAAAAAATGTCATAGTCAACCAATCAGAAGTGATCAAATGTGACGGGCCTAATTGATGATGACCATCATGGGTCGAAACTCCGCCGGTAGAACCTTTGGGGCTACTGTCGGTCCCAAGCCCGGCGGATAATGGAGGAGGGTTGGACATTGGGTTGGCAACCCCATCCCACCAAAAAAACTAACTTGCCAAAAAAAACGCTAACCAGAAAAAAAATAATTCAAACCATTTTAACTCTGCCCCGGGGAGTTGGAAGAAAGAATTATGACGTCGCGTGATGAAAGCCGAGTTCCCTCGGAAGTCACGGGGCTGATGCCTCTTCTGACAACCAGAACAACCATTTTCTTTAAATACATGGAACGTTCGTACATTGTGGGAGACTGGAAGACTATTTCAAGTTGCGGCAGAAATGAAAAGATACAACCTCGAGGTGCTCGGCATCAGTGAAATGCATTGGACACAGGTAGGACAATTGAGACTAGCTTCAATGGAACTTCTGTTATACTGGGCGGCCTATGCTCCATTGGAGGTAACAGGCGTAAGTAAGTAAGTAAGTAAGTAATCATGAGTCGAGAAACGACCTTCTCTTCTAACGAATCAATCAAGTTGATCTGTTGTGCTGTTAAGAGTATGAGGGGGAATGTTACTTACTAGCTGCTCCCTTGATTGTGGAAGCTTCTTCTCAAGAGGTGGAATATAATTCGGTAGTAAATAGACTTTGTCTTCTGTTTTTAACCATCTAACTCAAAGAGATAGTTATTTGAAAAGGGTGGTGGTGGTGTTAGCATGTATCATGTTCAGGTCTTGGACATCGCAGCACATTGTAAAAGTGAGAAATGCTGGTCTTGATTTTTTGAGCTAGTCAACGAGCGGAAAATGAAAATGGTTGTCACTTAATCGACGCCTACAACATTAAAGGATACTTGTTCTCTTGTCACTTGTAAGAACATAACTTCAGAAGAAGTTCTTGATGCATCAAGTTTGTATGTTAAATGTCTTTTCACTGGCGATAGAAATTTTTTTTGAGAGAACCATTTTTTCTATTTGCATTTAATTACAACACGAATATTGTTAGGATATTCATCACATATTCTAAGAGAATTATTTTTGTAAGTCTAATTCTATTGGTCAATTCCTACTGGTCAATACTATGGTCGTCCTAGATATCAATGTCACGTACTTCAAATGTTGTTTCCTATTCGACCTAAATGTATAAATACGCATTATCTGTAACGTTTTATGACCAGGACCCGGATCCTTAGTCCGGGATCCTGATTCTCTTCTGGACTCGGACCTCGTACTTTCTGGATGCTTGTAGAATACAGGTTCTACTTCACATTTAAGTGTTGTCTTCTTTTTGACTCCATTTGGGGGTTGGGATAATCGGATGTGAGTAGCATGTCGTGTCACCGGACCCTCGATCCTCACTTCCGTTTTCCGACTAAGATAAACTAGTAATAGTTCAAGTATATCAAAATGACGTGTTTACGTGCAGGCGTAACAGTAAGTAGTCTTATAGAGTACTAATACTCTCTTCTACTAAGGACACTATGTGATTCAATTTACATGCTCATACACTTTCTATGTGTAAGAGTCAGAGAAAAAATCCACTGTTACCCATTGCGGGGTTGTTGTCAAGATCGTTAAGTTTTATTTGTAACCATGAAGCGATCAATGTTAGACCACCATTGGAAACCTGGGAGCATTGGACGGCTGTTTCGTCCTGGTTTGGTACTCATCAGCAGTGCGCATCCACGACTCCTGCACCCCGCAGGATTCGAACCCAGGACCTTCGGTATTGTGCACGAACGCCCTAACCGTTAGACCACTGAACCGGTATCTAACGGTGTTAATGTCTAACTTGATCAAATTCACGGAGTTGCGCAACCTCATACCCTGTATACATCCGAACAGGTTTGAACTTCACTGGTCACGACTTCCCACTAGAACTGGGAGAAGATTCCTCACCAAGCTAGTCACTAGATGGGATGAAAGCATATTCTGTAAAAAAAAATTTACGTGGCAGTACTCTCTCTCTCTGATTATACTTGATTTACATTCTTGTGCAAGGCGTATTCCTATTCAATTTTACTCTCTCCCTCTCTAAATAATCTCTCATATGACCACATGTATATATAACAAGTGACTAAGAGGTCCGAATTACTGCCTTCTCGTATTAATGGCATTGAGAAGACGATGTGAGTGAGTGTCCATCCAGAGGCTGAACCAGATTGGTGGGCACATAGGATCTATCTAACAGCCATCGGAAAATCTTTATTCAAAACCAATGGTGTACATGTGTTCCAAGATCCTGTTGTCAGTCAGTCAGATGCAACGTAGAACTTCGTACGTAAGTACATCAGTTCATGTCGCCATATCACATCAGCACAGAGATATAATTGTCAATTCAAATCCAATAGTAGAAGAGGTAGTAAAGGTATTAGAAGTAATCGGAGAGGTTAGGATTAGAAGATATTATTCAAGAAGTATGATTCAATGAGATAAGTTTAGAAAGTCAAAAGTAGAGGGGTTGAAGAATTCAGAAGATTAGGATTTGAGAGAACACAGAGAATGAATGCACCGGCGCCACTGTAAACGGTTTTGAACCATGTCATTCAGAGTCTCTAACCATCGATTACTATCATCTTGCGGACCACAACCAGGTAGTCGACAGTTAACGACATGGCTAAGTTCACTCGTCAATGACTTCGTGGATTTCTGACATGTTTTGGTTTGGTCGCCCTTAACTTTCTTCCAACCTACTCCTACACTACAAAACATAGCTCGTCGAGACAGTCGGTGGTTAGGCATACGTAACACATGTCCCAACCACCTCAACTGATGAAGTTTCATTACTTCATCTATTGATCTGCCATTCTTACCTAGCACCCGTTTCCTAACGACAGCATTGCTTACTCGGTTGTCCCACGGTATACGAGCAATGCTTCTTAAACATCTATGATCGAATACTAGTAACCTACGAACATCTTCTACTCTCACTGGCCATGTTTCACAGCCATAAAGTAAGACGGAGCAAACCACTGCGCAGTACACTCGTCCTTTAGTCACCAAACGGATATCTCTCCAGGATCCTGTTGGAACATGATGGTAGTACATGAACCTATTGTTGGTCACTGGCTTACATGAGACTACATCACCTGAAGTTGACCCACACTGCCTTATGGATTATACGTTTAGGCCAGAGGAAGCTCAGGGAGTTGTAGCCTTCTAAGGTAACCATTTACTTTGGTTTGGGCGTCCGAGCAGTATCCCACCCTATTCATAAATTCAATAATTTGCATGTCACATAAATAATTGAGCGCTCCGTTTTGCATCAACATTTCAGCGAACTTGGAACACTTTTATCCTGCTCTCTTTAATCTTTGATTATATGGAAAATTTATGACGAAATATTTCATCGTAACAAAACACATCAAAAAACCTACCTGACACGACTACTATAGCCAAGTTCACTGATATAATTTTCATCATTTTGAAATTCAATTGTATGATAATTCGCAGAGACGACCGTATCATAACCAGATGATGACGACGACGAGGATGAACCGGATGGAGCAATAGTTGAACTACCACTGCCACTCTCTGCGTTACTAAATAAACGATCTACACTAGTTGTTTTTGTAGTTGTTGGTCGACCACCATTTGTTGGCAAAGAGAACCAACGAATTTGAGGCGGTGGATTACCAGAAGCACGACATAGAACTTGTAGACCAGTACGATCGAAAAATCTTAATAAATTTGGTAAATCTGGAATTATATGCGGTGGTGAATGTGAAGCATCACTTAAACGTTTATTCCTGAGTAATGGAGATAATGATGATGATGAAGGGGATGACTGGTGGTGTGATGACTTCAAATCGATATGTTGATGATTGGATGAATTAGGAGGATGAATACCGAATGTATAATTGTTTATATGTGGAGGGAATTTAGGACACTGTAATGATCGATTGACTGAAATGAAAAAAAATCAATAAACATAATTATGTGTAGCCTAACGAAATGAAGATAAGTTGTTTTGAATTTCATCAGATAATCTGATCAGATTGACCCATTGAACGAAACCTATTTTAATGGTAAGTCAATTATTTCCATCATTAGAAACCTGGAAGCATTGGACTGGCCGTTTCGTCCTAGTATGGACTCATCAGCAGTGCGCATCCATAACTCCTGAACCTTGCAGGATTCGAAGCCACGACCTTCGTATTGTGCGCGAACGCCTAACTATGGACCACTGAACCAGTATCTAACGGTGTTAATGTCTAACTTCAATCAATTCACGGAGTTAAGCAACCTCATACACACTCTTCGGTAGTTACTGTCTAAAACCCGAACAGGTTGAACTTCACTGGTCACAACTTCCCACTAGAAATCGGAGAAGATTCCTCACGAGGCTAGTCACTAGTAAGCACAGATAATTTGCATTACGGGGTTGTAAAGATTGTTTCAAAAATGTGTAACTTAACACTCAGATGTTACCTTCATACAAACAAGTCAAGAAAGATTTATTACGTACGTACGGTACTATTAGCAGAAAGTCAAAAAGATTAGGGTTTGTAAATATTATTCAAGAAGTAGAATTCAGTCAGATAAATTTAAAGAGAAAGATAAAAAATGATAAAGAATTCAGAAGATTATGATTTGACAGAGCACAAAGAATGGATGCACCCTGCGGCGATTGCAAACGATTTTTGAGTCATTCAGGGTATCTAACCATCGATTACTAACATCTCGTGGACCCCAACCAGATGACTCAGTTTCACTTGTCAGTGACTTCATGAATTTGTGCCATGTTTTTATTGGCCGCCCCTAACTTTCTTCCAACCTTCTCCCTACACCATAAACATCGCTCCGTCGAGGTAGTCGATGGTTTGGCATTCGTAACTGTCTAGAATACTCACGAAATATCCTAAGAGTACTATTTTTGGAAGTATAATCCTATTGGTCGATTTTTATTGGTCAAAATTATGGTCGTTTTAACTGTCAAAGTTAAATACTTCAATGTTGTCTCTTATTGGTCATCCGGACTGTCAATGTCATTTCAAATGTTCTTTCCTATTGGTCATCCTAAACTGTCAATGTCACAGAATTGGATGCTGTTTCCTATTCGACCAAAATGTATAAATATGCACTATCTGTAAGACTTCATGATTC